GGGCGCCTGCCGGGCCTGGTCGCCTCTGGCCCCCCGCGGTCCTGGACGGGGCAAGGCACTGAGGGCCCTGACTCGGCGTGGGGTCGGGAGGAGGATGGTTTGGACGCATGCCCCTGGGAAATCATAGCCATAATTATCTGCGTTTATCCACCGCCTGTGCCCCGCTCGTAAGCCCCACATGAACCCTATTAGGCAGTTTCTCCAATTGTTTCCATTTCATCAGGGAACTGAGGCCCAGAGATGTCTAGCAAGCAGCCCTCCGGAGTTTATCCAGCTGGTAAGAGGCAAAGCTTGAATTCCCATGGTCTTCCTGGTGGTTGAATCATAGCACCAGGAACAGACTCAGTTCACCCCTTAGGAGGGAGGAGCCAAAGGCGTCCATCCCTGTGAGACCTCTAGGAACCAGAGCTTGGGAACAAGCCAGTGTTGACTGTGCCGCATCACCTCCTTCAGGAAGTCTCCGCGGATACCCCTACCTTCCTGGCTGGGTTGGGTCTGAACTTAGCTGACAACATCTGTTTAAACATGTGTCTGCCATACTTGGGCTTGTCTTGTTCAGTAATACCAGCCTGGCCTAGAGTAGGCACTCAGTAAGTGCTTATGAAATGTGAATAGGTGATTCGCTCAGTGAACAAAGGCCCGAGGGCTGGAGAAGGCAGAGGAGTTCAGGGAGGAGGCCCATAGGAGTAAAACTTGGGAGACATCAAGTCCCTTGCTATGTGCTTTTTTTTTTGAGTTGGGGGCTTACTTTGTAGCCCAGGCTGGAGTGCAGTGGCATGATCACAGCTCACTGCAGCCTTGAACTCCTGGGCTCAGGCAGTCCTCCCACCTCAGCCTTCCAAGAAGCTGGGACTATAGGCACACACCACCACACCTGGCTAATTTTATTTATTTGTTTGTTTAGTTATTTATTTTCGAGTCAGGTTCTCACTCTCTCCCAGGCTGGAGTGCAGTGGCAGGATCATGACGATCATGGCTCATGGCAGCCTCAACCTCCTGGGCTCGGTTTATCCTTCCACCTCAGCATTCCTAGTAGCAGGGACTACAGGCATGCATTATCACGCCTGGCTAATTTTTAAATTTTTTTGTAGAGGTGAGGTTTTACTATATTCCTGGACTCAAGCAATCCACCCACCTTGGCCTCCCAAAGTGCTGGGATTACAGGTGTGAGCCATGGCGCCCAGCCTGCCTGGGGCTCTTGATGGCCTCATCAAAATGGAACCTTTATTTGTGGCTCTCAAGGGACTGGGAGCTAAGGCACCCCGTTGGTCCTGCAAGGACATTCCTGAGGAGAGCAGAAGCTAGACTGGCATGGGGTGTGGTGCTGCTCTGGGTCTGGAATGTAGTGAAACCAGTGGGTCAGGCTGCTTAGGGCCCCAGGCTCTGGTCCTGGGGTGGTCTCTTCTACCCTGAGCTGCCATCTTTACAGTGTTCACCCCCCTACACCCCCAGCCCAAGTACAACGATGTGACTAAAAAGAAAATGTTTATTCTTCAAGAAGAGAAACAGAGGAGAGGGTGAGGGGTGAGGACTTCGGGACTTAGAAGGTTAGGGCAGCTGGTCTGTGGAACTTAGAAGGTTAGGGCAGCTGGTCTGTGGTTGTCCAGGTAGCGCCGCAGGGCCGTGGGATAATCGGTCATGACGCCAGAGGCCCCCAGGTTGAAGGCCACTTCAAAATCTGACTCTTCATTAAGGCACCAAAAGACCACCTGAGCGAGGAAGGAGGGGCTTGTAGTTTCCAAACAAGTTTACCTGGAACTTCCCTTTACATCTAGAAGCTGGGAGCTCTCCTTCTCCATGGAGACCTCCCAGCTGTGGAGTGCTGGAGCTATTACATTTTCAGGAATTTTGCAAAGTGATTATGAAACCAAGCCATTATTGAAAATTAAATTGTGCTGGGCTCGGTGGCTCAGCCTGTAATCCCGCGCCTTTGGGAGGCTGAGGTGAGTGGATTGCCTGAGCCTGTGGGTTCGAGACCCGCCTGGGCAGGCAAGACCTCATCTCTACAATACATAAAAAAATTAGCTGGGCATGGTAGCGTGCGCCTGTAGTTTCAGCTACTTGGAAGGCTGACGCGGAAGGATCGCCGGAGCCCAGCAGGTCGAGGCTGCGGTAGCCGGAAGCGGCCACTGCACCACTCCAGTCTGGGTGACAGAGTGAGACTCCAACTCAAAAAAAGAAAAGAAAAAAAAAAAGAAAATTAAAAAAAAAGAAAATTAAATTATATAAGCTTACTATTAAATAAATTGTATTTAAAATAAAGACATTAAATACTGAAAACATTATCAATTTTTAATTATATTACTACTTTTTTGAGTCGGGGTCTCACTCTGCCACCCAGGCTGGAGTGCAGTGGTGTAATCATGGATCTGTGTAGCCTTGACCTTCTGGGCTCAGGTGATCCTCCTGCTTCAGCCTCCTGAGTAGCTGCGACTACAGGCATGCGCCACCATGCCCGGCTAATTTTTTTATTTTTATTTTTTTGCAGAGGTGAGGTCTCACTATGTTGGTCTTGAACTCCTGGGCTCAAGAAATCCTCCCACCTCGGCCTCCCACAGTGCTAGGATTACAAATGTGAGCCACTATGCCTGGCCATTATTTTACTACATTTTACTATTACTTATGTTCTTGAGATTATTTATGTCTGTGGAGTCTGTAAGATGGAACTTTGTAATGGTGTGCTACCGCATATCCCTTCCCATTCTTCACTTAGTGTTTTCACGTTGGTAGCCTGAAATTGGCGAAGGTGGGAGTATTTAAGCCAGGGAAATGAATGCACAAATTTGTTTTTGCCTCCTGAAGATCCAGTTGTTGAATGTTTCCCAGCATGCCAGTGCCTCCCAGCCTGCCCCATCTCCTGCTGCTCTGTGCCTTTCCTCCCTTTCGGAGTCCTCTCCTGTGGGCACCAAGGTAGGTGGGAATGGTATTTTTATTCCAGGTAAGTGTCCTTGGGCCTCCTGATTTCCTAATAGGACCAGTGAGGGTGATGGTCAGTACCATCACCTTCGTGGTAAAGATCCAAGGAGGGTGAGGGCTGAGCTGAAAGAGCTGTGTCATTCCATGCCTCATCACCCCCACACCCAATCAGTAGCCAAGTCCTGGCCTCTCTCTGCAAGTTACCTCTCCTATCCATCCCTAGTGCTGCCACTGAAGCCATGTCCTGTCGGTGGCAGCATCAGCCCCCTAATGAGACTCACCACTTTCACATCAGCCCCACACAGTTCTCCATGTGGTAGCCCCAGTGACCCTCACTCAACAAACCTTAAGAAGATTAAGTCTCTCCTCTGCTTGAGACTCTCAAAGCCTTTCCTTCCCTTTGGACTGAAGTCTGTGCTCCTTCCTGAGAACCATAGCTGGCCAGCCTCAGCCTCTGCTGCCTTCTCTCATTCCCCTGGGCCACTTCCTCAGGCGGCAGCCTGGGGGACCCTCCCCATCCCTCTACCAGCTCCATCCGCTGTGGCACATGTAAGGCTACCTGCCTGAGCTGGTCTCCCTCCCACTCCCTAAGCACCAGCCTCCTCCCATCCTTCATGTGGCTGCTCACTCCTCACTCCTTCCATAAGGCTTCTGAGCCCACAGCACTCTGTTCCTTCCTGTCTACTGGATGCCCTTGAGGCTGCCTGCTGCACTGCTTTCCTTCCTCCCTCTGTCCTTGAAGCGAGGCTCCCATCCCCAGCACCACAGTGCCTGGAACATTCTCAGCAAAGGTTTGCTGATTAAATGACCTGGTCAAAGCTGAAGCTCGGGGGAGAGGGAGGTTGGCTGGACCTGGTTTCTCCCTTCTCTGATTTTTCTAGCCACCCTCTCTTTTTTTTTTTTTTTTTT